CGACAAAACGGTCTAAAACCGTTGATTCCAGGATGGGAGATCAGGGCAGCCACATTTGTGGAAAGTGTGGGAGGGGTCACGCTGGAGTTTGTCGGTCCGGTGGTGCATTCCGCAAGTGCGGAAAGGAGGGGCACTATGCGAGGGATTATCGGCAGTTAGTGCCAATTCGGGATTTGAGGATATGTTATCATTGTCATCAGGTTGGACACTTGAGGGTCAACTGTCCACAGCTTGCTGCAGGACCGGTGTAGGCTCCAGCACCGGCCACGCTGAGGATCACGGGTGGAGGTCAGAGTGGAGCGGAGCCCCCCAAGGGCTTAGGGTCGTGCTTTTCAGCTTACCGCGGAGGAGGTTAGAGCAGTGCCGGATGCAGCTGCGGGTATGTTTCTTTCTTGTTGTCTTGTTTATTTATGATTATTGTGGAGTATCGTTTATTTGCTAGTCCCGTTGGGTGGTTTTCGTTTTGGTATCCGTTGTTCTGTGAGGGTTTGGTAAGGTTATGGGTTAGTGTTTCGGGTTTTCGTTTTGGTATCCGTCGTTCCTTGAGGGTTTGGCATGGTTATGGGTTAGTGTTTCGGGCTATCGTTGGTTATCATTCGTGAGGGTTAATAGTGGATGCGGCATTGGTTTGAATGTCAGGTAGCATCTGCAGTCTGAGGAGTGGATAATTGAAGAGTGGGTTCCTTTCGAGCGGGATGATCGGTGTGGAAATGTGTTTTGCGAAGGTTGCTAGTGCTAGTGGGAATCAGTCTGCGTGTAAGCGTTGGGTTTTGTGCAAGGTTATTTTTGGGAGGTTGGTGATAGCGACCGGTGGTTGATAGTTAGTGCCTTAAGTGGGGGAGAATTGGAAATTCTCTGGATGATCGATAGACTTGAGAGGTTGTTTAGCTGCTTGGGTTTCGGCGATATTTCTTTCAACCGAGAGCAGGCTGGTATGGGAGAGTAGCGGGCGTACGGGGCGGAATACAGACCTGGCATTGATTGTGAAGGGCCTGGGATCAGGCTGGGATCGAGTATGTATGGTGGAGATAGAGTTAGGAACCCCTAGGGGGCTAGAACGGTATGTAGGGGAGGATTTCCCGGAAAGATATCTCGGAATGATGAATGCTAGTTGAGCGGTCCGGATAGACTGAAGGCCGTAAGGCGTACCAGTCAGACCAAATTCTCGGGGAACGGTCCAGCTAGACTGAAGGCCCTGGAGGGTGGCCCAGATTGGCTGAAGGTTTTGAGAGTGGTCCAGATTGACTGAAGACCTGGTGAGGTGGCCCAGTCATGCTGAAGACTCTGCAGGTATTATCGGATCAGTTCGAGGAAATGGGTTGGGTGTGTTGTGATGTATTAGCATTAGAAGGTCTGGCCCCGACGATTGATTGTGAAGTAGTGGAGTTGGTGCATGGACTCGAGAGTCCTTGCGAGCAGGTTCAGGACATGTATGTCTCATGGTTAGCGGTCATGCTAAGGGAATGTAAATCCACGGAAGTGGAAGTAGCAGCGCAGGGTTATGTTGGGAGTGGTCCAATTATGGTCATTGAGCAGCGAGATTACGATAGTGTTACGGAGCACATCCGGATTGGATGGTTGCTGAGGCTCGGCAGGAATGCATGGATGGAATTTCGGAATTTCAGATACATTTTTTTATGTGGTGAAAATGCATCCGGAAGGGTGTTTGGAAGTGTCAACAGTGTATCGGGGTTTTCCTAACCCGAGGACACTAGAGCCAGTTTGGTGCGGTTATGAGATTGCGATGGAGAACTCATGGGAGTTGCTCTAGGGATGAAGCTCGTTTCATCTTGTCAGTAAGAAAGGTAAATTTGGGGTTTGGATTACGATGGTCGAGTCTTGGGAAGCCTGGTCCGGTGAGGGCCATACGGAGTATTGCAGGGATAGTTTCAGAGTAGAGACGTCACAGGCTTCGAGGACGAAGCCTAATTTAAGTGGGGGAGAATTGTAACACCCTGTTCTTCAAGTGTTTAATTATGAGTCACTGAGATTTAAGAGAAAGTTAATTCTGGTCCCTTTCGAGAAATGAGTTTCATCCGAGAAGGTTTCGGGCGAGTGTATGTGTTAGAAGTATTGGGCTTCTCGTCACCCTTGTATGAATGTCAGTTATGAGAGTGGGTTTAGATTAGAGGAGTTGCGGTACCTCGAAGTTGATCATTGTTTATAGTTCTTTATGGAATAAGAAGGAGATGGTCCCATGCATGCATGGCATGCATGCATGCTTTTGATCTTGAAGTCTGGCTGGGTACGCCCAGCGTAAGCTGGACGTACGCCCAGCGTAAGTGGGTGATTGATACGAGTTGGCCGGGTGAGTACGCCCAGCGTACCAGGGAGGTACGCCCAGCGTACTCTCAGTAACTCCAAACCCTATTTTTAGGGTCAACCATTATATAAGGAACATGTTGGTTCACCCCTCAGCCCCCAATGCTCATCTTCAACCTCAGAAAAACCCTAGATCTCGTATTCTCACATATTTGGGTGTGTTTGGCCTTGGAAATCTCTTGTTGGCAAAAGAAAGGCTTGAAGGAGAAAAGGGAAGTTGTCAAAGAAGAAGAAGAACGTGTGGAGCTTGTACATCTGAAGAAATACCACCCTTTGGAGCTGGTTTAAGGTATAAAGTTTCTTGCTTGACCTTCATATGGGCATAGATCTATGTATTTTGAAGCTTTGTCTCCATTCTTGTCCCAAAAGTCCTCTCCTTGTTGTATAGTTCGATTTGGTCAAGATTATTTGTCCTTTCAGACCTTTGGAGAGGTCTTGAGTGATAAAAATGAGGTCCCAAGGGCTGTAGTTATTCCATGTATGAGTTATATAGGTCTTAATGGATTAAGACCTTGGATTAAGAGCTTAAGGACGTCCCAAGTGATAAAGTCTGAGACTTTATGATTTCTAATCATATTTGGCCTATGGATCTGAAGTTTGGGATTAAGAGCTTAAGCCATTAAGATGTTAAAAGGACTTAATGGATCTCGCAGTTACGCCCCGCGTAGCGGGCCAATGCCCCATTTTCTTTTGGTGATCATTGTTGTACGCCCAGCGTACCAGGGAGGGTACGCCCAGCGTACTCCTCCTGTGGACTTTCTTTTGGGCTTTTGAGTTGGGCCAATTGTGGGTTGTTGGTGTTTGGGCCAAGTCTGGAAATTATGAATAGAGTATTTTGGGCCCAATTAATATTATGGATATTGGATCTAGGCCCATTTGGTGAGGTGGGCCCAATTTGGTAAATTGGGCCAATGTTGGACTTTGTGTGAGATTTGGACTTTGGTCTTGGTCCGATAAGTGGAAGTATGTTTGACCTAATGCTTATGCTTGTTATGTTGGTTAGTTCGGGATTTGCGGTGAGTTGGTGGTTCGGGAGTCTGCTTCTTCAGTTCAGAGTATCGGCATTCGCGAGGTGAGTTATCATCACTATATCAATAGGGTCTAAGGCACCAAGGCCGACCCTTTATTGGATTGTGATTCGAATATGGTTGTTATGTTATTGCTTGATATGTCTGCATCCTGGTAGCTAGGATGGTATATGCTAGAGACCTGATTAAGGTCGGTTTCCCGATATGTAGAGTGATGCTATGCTAGTGACCGGTTAGGTCGGTAACCTGGTTAGGGTAATGATATGTTATGTGATCTGCTTGATCGGTTTGTTGACTATGACTGTTATATGATTGTATGTTATGTGCACATGGTTGTTTGGACTGGAGATGGGTTGAGGCGGGTCCTGCTTTGTGCTGTAGGCCAAGATACCCAGGGAGGACCGGTTGTTCCGAAGGCCCAGCGAGCGGTCCGGATAGGCTGTAGGCCCCACGAGGGCAGACCAGACGTGCCGAGGCTCGGAGAGTGGACCAGGCTGACTGAAGCCCCGATGCAGGCAGACCAGTAATACTGTAGACTCAGAGAGTGGACCAGGTGGGTTGAAGGCCCGGTGCGGGCGGACCAACCACACTATAGACTCAAAGGACATGACTAGACTCGGAGGGTGGACCCGGTGGACTGAAGGCCCGATACGGCGGACCAATCACTCAGTAGACCCGATATGCATGGCTGTTCTATGTTCTGTTATGTTATGTATGCTTTTTATGCTATGGGCCGGAAGGCAATATGTTTTGGACCGGAAGGTCGTATCCTGGAAGGGCGTATATGTGGTTGGTATTTTGGGGGTATCTCACTAAGCTTTCGGGCTTACAGTTGTGGTTTAATGTTTTTCAGGTTCTTCAGGAGACTGTGGCAAGGCAAAGGTGTGATCGTACCGTTCCTCGCGTTTATGTTTTATGAAATGAACCTGGGGAATACTCTGATAAATAATGTATTGAAAACCTTTTTGTAATAATGTTATTAAAATGGATTGTTTTAAAAAGTTTAAATTATGTTGAAATTTTTGGTCGTTACAGCAAGTGCCAAATACAGAGTAGGAGGATTGCACCTTCACATTTGACGAATAGGATTACATCCATGATCGCCATAGGGGAGACGATTTGATTGTCATCATCGTCTTATAGGGAAAAGCCATGCAAGCGATCTCTACGTAGATAGTGGACGCTCTATGAATGTCATATATAAACCTTCTTCAAACAACTACTCGGTCACGTATAAGCAAGATCAAGTCCACCAGAAAGTCACCCGGTCAGCCTTGCCGACAACAACGTATGGCCGGAAGGGTTAATCACCATATCACTGACCCTTATCGATTATCCTCATGGGAGGAATAACATGCGATTAATATGCTTCGTGATAATTAACTCACCTTCACCTTACAACATCATCTTTGGGCGCACAATGATGCAGAAATTCAAGGTTATCTCATCAGCGATTCATGGAGCTGTCAAATTTAAGACAAACTCGGGTGTCGGGACAATATACACCAAAAGAAGAGTATAACAAGGTAAGAGTTTTGACAACGAGGATCACCTAGACAACGTCCCAAGTCGATTTGAAATCCAAATAAACTACCCATCAATGAAGCAAGGGGTTAGACAGAGCACCACTACACAAATACCACACGACAATCAAGGGCCATCAGATGTACAAACAGAAGACAACACATGCCTTAAACAAGCGTTACAACTGCTCGCGACTAGGGCATCATGTAAAATCACAGAAGGCAACACATCAGTAATTGTAAAGAAACACAAGTAGACAATAAGCATCGCGCCGGTCAACATAAAACATGCACCGACAAGGTGAACCGAATAAGTTAGCGAAAACCGAGATGAAGCAAGAAATCGCATGAGAAGCATGTATAAGAAAGCATAATGTGGACCATCTAGGGCAAAAGAAAGGAAAAAACAATCCAAGTAGGATAAAACGACCAACGCCAAAGGAAACCGACAGAAATGCAAAGCCACGAAATGATTAGTGGACATATATAACTTAAGCAAAACAACGACTATACAACCCTCGACAAAAACCAAAGGGAAGAAACGATCAACGGTTGTGATATTGATGTGGGGAGACAAGAAATTGAGAACAATACGCTGGGAAATAGTACCACCCACGATGGGCCATGAAAGTAAGTATAAAGGTGCACAATAGATGTTCATGTTTGCAATTAAGTGGCAACAACCTACTAAAAGCATGTTGTAGGACAAGCGACTACGGTTACCGTGGTTATTTCATGATAAATAAAACCAAGGGTCGAAGTTCAACACCTCGATCTCGTCTACCTGCTTAACCCAAGAATATATTTATTTTATTTATATTTTGTAGCTCGGTCAGCAGGCTACAATCTAACAAAGGTTACGTTCAACACTTCGACCCTAGCTACCTTCTTAGCCCAAGAATATCTTTATTCTGTTTATATTTTGTAGATCGGTCAGCCGACTACAATCTAACAAAGGTCAATTTCAACACTTCGACCTTGGTTACCTGATTAGCCCTGGATTGTCTTTATTCTATTTATATTTTGTAGCTCAGTCAACCGACTACAATCTAACAAAGGTTAAGTTTAACACTTCGACCCCGACTACATGCTTAGCCCAAAAATATATTTATACTATTTATATTTTGTAGCTTGGTCAGCCGACTACAATCTAACAAAGGTTAAGTTCAACACTTCGACCCCGACTACCTGCTTAGCCCAAGAATATCTTTATTCTATTTATATTATGTAGCTCGGTCAATGAATACAATCTAACAAAGGTCAAGTTCAACACATCTACCCCAACTACCTGCTTAGCCCAATAATATCTTTATTCTATTTACATTTTGTAGCTTGGCTACAATCTAACAAATGCCAAGTTCAACACTTCAACCCCAGCTACCTGCTTAGCCCAAGCATATCTTTATTTTATTTATATTGTGTAGCGCGGTCATCCGACTACAATCTAACAAAGTTCAAGTTCAACACTTCGACCCTGGCTACCTGCTTAGCCTAAGAATATCTTTATTCTATTTTGTAACTCAGTCAGCCGACTAAAACCTAATAAAAGTCAAGTTCAACACTTCGACCCTGGCTATCCGCGTAGCTTGAAGAACGTCGTCAATCTATTTTAAATTTGTGGCTCAACAAGCTGACTGCAACCTAATAAAGGTCGAAGTTCAAACACTTCGACCCCACTTAAAAGCTTAGCCTAAGAGTAATTTCATTATATGAAAATCATGTAGCTCGGACAGCCGACCACAAGAGCATGACAAGGTAAAGTTCAAAACTATCTATTTAGCCTTAGAAAATCCTCAACCTTTTCCAAAATTTTGCGACTCGATCAGCGGACTACAATCTCATGCACGTCAACGTTTCAAAACCCCGACCCACACTACTTTCTTAGCCAAAAAAGACATTCCTATTCTAACAATACTGCCTTACGAGACGGTACTCACGACAAGCTTAAAGCTTTGGAATAAGGATACAATCCAAATTGAAAGCACACCAGCAGGGGAATAGAGAAAATGCCAACCGAACGATTATGACGATTCACAATAGAAATATGGGGAGAGGGAAATGAAAGGATTACGTATGCAAAACACGGTATTAATTTTAGGAACATCATACAACCAATTCATTTTACATATTCAAAGATCAAGCAATATATGTTGCAATACATATTACCAAACACCCTGGTTACATCAATACCATCATCCCAAGTATCAACACAAATATCAAAGGAAAAACAACCAAGCACCAAAAATATATTAAGAAAAAAGGGGGAGAAGAACTTGTCCAAATTCAACAAACCTACAAACTAACATTAGTGATTCAACAAATACCCACAACCATACCACCAGCCTCATCCACACACCATACCTTTTCAGATTCGTTGTGCCCGTCATGACCACTTGTAGAAGCAACATTACCACCAGCACAATCCACCAATTTGCACAACTAATCAACACTTGCTAAAGGAAAGCCAAACTAGGATAAATAGTCAGCACAAAACAAAGTTGAAAACATTTCTTCCATTTTCTGCACACGAGAGGGGTCATATAACGGAAGATCTGTTTCATGAAGGCCCATCTTAAACTCAGTGTTCATCATCTCACAGCCTGCTCTCCTGCCGATTGAGGAGGTTTGTGTCATAGGGAAGTATGGATAACGTTTGTGCCATCATAAGAATCGTGAAACCAATCAAAGATTCAAAACTCTCATCCTCTCCGTCGTGAGAATTACTGCCATTGCTACCACTATAGGTAAAGCTATTATCAAGAATTGGAAGGTCAAAATCTTCCAAACCCAGATCCCGTGAAGCAATTATGCCCTTAACAAAATTAGATAAAAGGAAATGCAATTGAGTTCCATCTACATGTGCCAAGTATTGGGTCAATACACATAATAAAAATAAAGAACTCAAAAATGTCTTGTGGGAACAAACTTGCACCGAGAACAAATAATGACGAAACAACGCCAAGACGCAACCAATATTGACTCCTACCAACTTGCCGCAACAAGGCCTCAGGGAATTTCTTCATCATCACATTTAAACAGGAGATCTTGTCTATATCCTGGCTTAAGTCACTAGTCCTAGTAGGCTTTTGGTCTTCAATCGTCCTAGGAAGGTGGATTTCATTTCGATAATGGAAGCATGAAGCATTCAGCCAGATAAATTTATTTTTCCATTTTTTATCGAATCCAGAAGACCTTCAGCAAAACTATGTTCCCTCAAATGAAAATAATACTAGGCCCCATTACTGCAAATGCGAAAGAAGTACAAGAACATGACAACAGTACGGATGACCAAGGAGGCATGACACAGAAGTTCAAAGCAAATAATTTTTGAAATGGAATTAGGTTTTAGTTGGAAAGTATGGATCTTGTACGCCTCAATAACTGAACTGAAGAACGCTGAGGAGGAAACTCACAAACCGGCCTCAAATCGTAAATATAAAAACCAACCTTACCTGGTGGTGGTTGATCAATGACGGCGTTCGCAGCGGGAAGAGAAAATTCTTCTTCAACAAGATGATACTTGACAGTAACCTAGTTAAGTTGTTCATGGCTGACGGTCAAGTGAACAACGGGCATCATCGAGCGAGACATTCTTTCATAGAGTATACGAGGATTCAGAAATAAGAAATCGCGAAGGGAATATGGACGATCAAGAGAAAAGAATACAAGTACGCAACTAAAAAAGGTTTGACAAGCATTATGAATTAGAAGGCTAAAAGGCAACTGTTACTAGGAGGATCTCAAGTGCCTATAAGCCTAAGATCAGTCGTGGGCAAGCGAATAAACCATCAACTGGGTCGAATGAAAAGGCGAGCAAAAATAACTCACTTAAGCCCAATTATTATACATCAATAGCGCTTCATAACAATAGGTTTGGGGGGGGGGGGGGCTTAATAGGGTAGGGCCACTAGTCCACATAAAACCAGGCCGATCGAGCAACCCAACCTACCTTCTTGGAGCACAAGCATCTACCTAAATGTCGAGCACTAAAGCGAGAATCACCCTATCATCGTACATACAGGCCACTAGTCCACATAAAACCAGGACGGTCGAGCAGCCCAACCTACCTTCTTGGAGCACAAGCATCTACCTAAATGTCGAGCACTAAAGCGAGAATCACCCTATCATCATACATACCCTATAAAGTATCTCCAGGAAACACGGGAAAAGTAAGACTATTTTAATAGAAAAGGAGGCTCACCATCATGACCTGAAGATTAATGCAAAACCCAAAAGAAGAAGCTAGGAACTGGTCTAAACCTTAGCTATAAAAACGAGCCTTCGCTAAAAGGCAAGGAGAAAACATTTTAAGCAATTCATATAAACTTAAAGCATTAAACATGACTTCTAACTTAGGCATCAAAGAGCAGTACAGGGGGTCCGCCCTCAATATGGCTTTCTAACCTGTACTTGTCACATAATATGCAACATGCTATTTGGATTGCTCATTAGAGAAAGCTCTAAGAGAGACTATCACAAGCATCCGAGAAGGTACGTAGCAACATAATATATGTGTGTATGGGGAGTAAATTGTGGAACGTAACGATATTTTGGATATACAAATTTTATACCTTTAACATCTTCTATGTAATTTAATACCTCAATCGTTAGGATGTGACAACTTGCATTTATAATGTCAAACCCTAAAAGACTCACCAAGGAAGAAATTAAATATTAGAGTAAATTACATTCTTGGTCCCTATGGTTTACATAATATAACACTTTTGGTCCAACTTTTGGCAAAATAACACCATCAGTCCATATTAAGGGTTTGGATAACACCAACTGACCTCCTAAGTTAACCCAGTCTATTTTGTCCATCTTTTCATAACAACTACATACAATAGATGGGTAAATTAGTAAAATGATATCTAAAACCCCTTCCATCATCTTTCACTTCAACTAAAACCACCCCTATTTTATTTAGATGCATCATATCCACTATCTATTTGTTAAGAGTTTTCCGATCTAATTGTGTTATCATTTAAATAATTGATATAGTGAAGCATTTTGTTGACATAACTAGTCTCAGGTATTTGAATCTCATCCGACCATCTAATTTGCACATCTAAGAACCCAAACAAAGTTTTTACACACTTAACAAGAGTCCAAACTTTGTTTTTTCTCTTTTCATCCACTAAAGGCTCAATCATTTACGAATAATAACATAAACTTTAAGTGCAAAGCATAATAGCATCCAACATGAAGTCATACACTTCAATGTAACTAAACCTACTTCGAAAACCTGCATACATGAGACTCATACTAAAACCACCATGTAGAATAAGAAATTAACAGAAGAATGAATGAATCTTAAAGAAAAACACTAACTGTAGCATTTAAATTCAACGATTGAAGTATCCAATGGTAACCAGAGTTGGAAATGAAAAGGATAGGTTCAGGAGGTAGGTCTTTGGTCTACCTTGCCACATTATATGCAAATTAGTTACTGTAATCCTCTAGGAACTTCCTTTCATAATGATTACATCGAAGGCAGGAAGGCCACGAGTCTTGGGCAGAGATTGAGTTTTCAACAGTTGAAAAGATTTTAGAGTTAGGCCTTGAGGGTTAAAGGATGATAGTCAAACGACTTCTCGGATTCTGTATGAGATTGATTGATCATATAGCACTTTGGAGGGCATTACGTGCGTCGATCCAGATTTACTGAGACCATCCCCTATTTTATTTATATGCCAT